CTTTTATATTTGTAAGTAAAATCACAACACATGAACTGCAATTTCCCATAGCACAGAATGTAAAAACAGCAGTAACTATGAGTTAGACATAAAGTTATAGTTGTGATGTCTGATCTGCCCAGGCTATACATCAGTTCAAGTAGGTAGAATATCTTCAAGAAAGCTTTGCGACACAGTTGTAAATTTGAATGCTACCATCAGTCAGGATTGTACACAAGGTTTTCATTTGGGAAACATAATTGCTTAGATTACATGTCACAAGTATAATTTTGAGGTAGGCTTTTATCCATGAAACAAAAGGGTGAACTGTGGGAATAAACTTTGACCTGAGCTTGAGCAATGATTAATATAATGCTTTATACATACATGCCTGTTTAAAGGTCACTAAGGTAATGCAAAGAAAAGAGAACAATAAGGACAAATACAAACAAGGAGACAGCTTAAACAATTGCAAGCAAACCTTTACTATATCTAATTATTAAGCCATAATGTAATTATGCTGACTATGTAGAAAAATCTCAATAAAAAGAAGCACTAGAATTTATTCTGGGCTTCCATCCCGAGAACACCAGCCTGTATCTCATTCTTTCCATGGAAGACCACCACAGTGAACTTCTACTTTCTACTTTCTTCAATTAAGAGTATCAGTTTATAATTTCAGATGTAAATGAATATTTTCCATGATAAAAATTACACCATAAATTATTTATGCATATATGATTCTTTTAAATTCCAATGGTATTTAAGTATAAAGATACTAGATATGTCATATGTGAACTGAATTCATATCATGTATGTTAGAGAGATTTAAAATGCTTTGTGATAATCAAAAGTGAATTTAGAAACAATAAATGAGACTAGGATTTATTTATTTAACATATGGCAAATACATGATAGTAATTCAAACGTCATTGTTCATTCCACCTAGCCATTCAAGGAAAGGACAGTCCACACTGAAAAAAATCAGACACTGGGCCGGTGCAAGCTCCTGATTGTTATGGTCCGCCGGTGGCTGGTGCAGCTGGCAGCAGAGTCGGACAGTAGGGAGGAGGTTGGGGAGGAACCTGGGCCATTCCTGGAGGCTGAGAAAGGCTCAGATGAGAGCTCTGCTTCAGGGGCAGAGATGGGGCCAGGGCAGGCTGGCAGTCATCAGCTGCCTTTGGGCTTGGACAGCAGTGAAGCGGGGGAGCTTCTGGAACCAGTTCCCAGCCTGCGCGTGTGCAGAGCTGCCAAAAGGAAGGCACAATTAAGCACTGAGAGTTGACGTGGGAGTAAGGCCACAGGTGGACAATAAATGGCCCCTCCCATCAGGATTAAAAAAGAAGCAAAAGGGGAGGGGGCTTTTGTAGGAAACAACTCGTTCATTTGGTTGCTTGTTTGTTCCAGCCTTGTGGAGATTTGTCTGTGTAACCCAGCCCTTCCCTGCCAGCAGTGAGCGTGGAACTATTTACCGGGCAGTGTACCTTCACAAGGCTGTTTGCCAAGCTGCTGGCTGACTGTGAATGAAATACATTCACATTAATGTAATAATGCTGGGACTCAGAATTGACTTAGTGCTTTTTGGGGAGGCCTAGGACAGAATACAGATAGACACCCAGACACAATGTGATGGAGCACCACAGTCACACTGAGGGACAGAGACAAGACCCCGCTCAAACAACAAGTCCTGGCAGACACCATGCTGGGCACGGATCCTGATGGAGTTCAATAACCAGTCATTTCAATGTGCAAAGATGTCTGATTACCTACGTAGCATTTATTCCTTTTATATGGTTTTTTACAAGTAACAAAAAGCAACATAGATACAGCATTAGGATTGGTGACCCCCCCACCAATCCTTAAGAATAGTGGTGATGTTAGTAAGGTGAGATCATTGTACCAGGTACGGGACTTACCAGCCTGCGACGGGGAATGAGATCATGCAAAGAGGCCCATATAGGTATTAGGCACAGCAGTATGCTGTGTGCGCCCTCTACAGGATCTCTATTGCTACTACATCTCACTCTTTTTTGTTTTGTTAGACAAGGCATAGTCATAAGAGAGGTTAGTAAGGGGATTATAATAATCAGTAGAAGAGCACACTTGCAGTTTTTTATACAGGGCATATACCTGACTCTAAGGCTCTAGTAGGGGATTTGGGGTGAAAAGCTGTGATACATATGTTGCAAAGGGAAGGAAGACACTGAACGAAGCAGCACCCACTAATTAAAATAGCACAAATAATGACTATATAACGTAAAATATTTCTCATTAAACCTGTGGGCAACCAAGCCCAAAAGCTGTCCCACCAAGATCCTACATTATCCATTTTTAAATCCGAGGCCAAATTGTGTAAAATATTGAGCTGATGCTGGATGTTTCGTGACTCATCAGAAAGATTATAACAACACAATCTCTGGAAACTTTCACAACCCAAATGTTGGCGTAGAAGCAAATAATCAATAGCAGCACAGTTTTGTAAAATAGCCTTTCTTAGCTCTTGCATCTCATGATTGATTGCTGAGATAGCTGAAGAAGTAGCATTAATTGTTTTCGCTAAATTACATGCAATAGAGTTAATGTTAAGGTGAGCACGAGCGGCAAGTGCTGGCACGCCCACCATAGACACAGCTAGCACTACGTATTCTGCTTTATTAAGTAAGGTTGCTTCAGAGTCACAAGTACTATCTAGTGTGACCCCTCGTGGAGAATGATTTGAATGATAAAGTTGTTGTTTAGAAAGCAAAACAGGAATCAGCCGGCTGAGGCAGCATTGCGCTTCACTAATATTAGCAGGAACATAATTAAAAGTTTCTTGACCACATGTAAAAAACCATCCTTGCGGTAGCCAAACATGGGCAAAGTTAAAGGAAGACTCTTCAAAAGCTGTGCAGTTCAAAGTAGGTGAGCTAATACAATGACAGTGAGGTTTTTTACTTGAAGATGTACAATTAACTACTTTTGTGCAAGTTATATTTGCAGGAATTGCTACCACAGGGGTGTGCAAAACAATCACATCAGGGGGTGGATAATAGGCAGCAAATCCCCAATTAGATATAGTCCCATAGTTAAAGCTCCCATTTAATAAAAATGCGCTTAGCCAGTGAAGTTTTGAATTACTTTAGAAGGAGTGCAGACAGGAACTAAACATGTAGAAAGCAAATTTTCCATATCATAAGCTTCAGATAAGCAAAAGACATCATTCTGTGTGATGTTAGCTAATTGGACCCATAGGTTTTGCTTCATTTGTTGCTCAAGTGAGTGTTTGGGTGAAATAACAGCCACTGTTGCCAAAGCTGTGAACAATCAAACATAAGCAAATGATGGCTAAGGAATTTGCAGTAAAACCGCAAAAATGGCAGCGCACAAATTCTCGGGGGTTTGTTCTACTTGCTGCTGTTGTAACACTGCCTGCGCTTTAGCAGTCAGGTTCTTCACATCTCCCCACGTCACTGGATGATTAGCACAGCGGGATCGGATGGGACGCTGTGCTGTCTGTAGAGTCATCCTGGTCATCTCTGGGATTGGATTTGGGGACTGGTGCCATGACATCTTTGGCTGGGCGGACACAACGAGCTGGAATCCACAAAGGTCCTGTAGGAGCAAGCACAGCAGCATAGCCTTGCCCCCAAGTAATTAGAGGAACTGGCCCCAGCCATGTTTTGTCTAGCAAGGCCCGATACTAGAGGGAGAGACAAGCTTGTTTTCTGTTGAAAGTGTCTCTGATAAGTGGTCAAATTTTGAATAGAGACATTCAATTGGTTTAAGGTAAGTAATACTTTTTTAACCTGTTGTGTTACTCATGACAAATTGGGGACCCTGCTAGATCCCTCCTTTTTAATTTGTTTTTGGAAGCAGTCCTTAAAAAACTGGTTAGCGCGTTTCACAATGGCTTGACCTTTGGAATTATAGAGGAGACCATGAATCAGCACAATATTCCAGGTTGTACAAAATTGCAAAAAAAACTGATGAAGAATAGGCTAGCCCATTATCAGTTTTTAAAGAAGAGGGCTTGCCCAGTGCTGTAATGGCCGAAAAAAGATGAGAAATAACATGATTAGCTGTTTCCGCTTGCAGAGGGGTAGCCCAAATGGCTCCTGAATAGGTATCAATAGATAAATGAATATATTTCCAGGGAGCTAGAGAGGAAACATGGGTAATATCCATTTGCCAAAGTTGATTAGAGGCAAAATCACAAGGATTAACTCTTGTGTCCCCCGAGGGGGATGTGCCAGAGCATTGGGGACAGGATAAAACAATTTGTTTAGCTTGGTCAAGTGGAATATGATAAGCTTGTGCCAGTCCCCTAGTGTTTTGATGGAAAAAAGAGTGACTGAAAAAAGGATCTGAAAATAAAGTAGCTAAAATATGAACAGCAGCGTCAGCATAACTATTGCCTTCAGAAAGAGGCCCAGGAAACGGGTGGGATTCAAATTTTTTAACAACCAGTTCTGTGGGTGTGACTAAGTTGGTGGGCGTGGCTTGGTGGTCATGTTATTGGCTAGGCGTAGCCAACTCAATATCACTCACATTGAGGCACGCATCTCCTCGCCTGGCCTCTGGAGATGTTGCAACAGTCGTAAGTGTGAAAAACGGTCATAAGTCACTTTTTTCAGTGCCATTGCAACTTTGAATGGTCACTCCACACAAGTGAAGTACCAGCAAAGGAGGGGGAAAAAACTCCAGAGAAGTTCCTGAGACAGGAAGTCTAGTCCTGCCAAGAACGTAATAAAGGTTAACGGAGAGGCAGTTTCTGTAAGCAACACCAGAATGTTTCCTTCCTGCCTTCCTTACAGGATTAGGCCAGTAATTTCTTCTAACAACTGGTTCTCCAAACTGCTTAGAATGTTAACAACCAGATCTAGCGAATAGGTGCTAACTGGTAGAATCCCACCCCTGCCCAGGAAGGGAGGAGTGACTACGTATGTGAGACACATAGTATAACTTTCTTCGATCTTGTAGCAGCTGCTGCAAAGTTAAAAACAAGGCCATGAGATTGGGATCAATCCTTGGCGTGATATAAGCACCTGGAAGATTAAAAATAAGTTGACACACATAATGAGAGTCAGAGTTTAAATTGAAAGGCTGTTGAGAAAACTTCCGGTTTGTCGGCTTCGCGAGTGGCAGGGATTTGCGAAGCTGTGCGATCCCTGCTGCGCTAGCCGCTTCTGGGGCTCCGACCCAGACGGGTACGGAGCTAGGCTGCCCTGCAGGGGCAGCTGAAGGTAGGGGGATCCGGAGAGGGGTTTGGGGGTGTTGCAGACCCCCTCCCCGGCCGGTAGAACCCCCTTTTCCCAGGACGGTGCAGCGGCGGTCCGTAATGGCCGCCACAAAGAAGCTGGCAGCCGGGTAAGAATGCGCAGGAGGAAGTGGAGAAAGTGCTTGAGAGGAGAAAGTTTTTCTTGGCTCCTAGGACTCTAAGACATTTTTAATAAAATTCCTGAAAAGTATGACTTTCTGAATAATACCTGCCAGAAGAGGAAAAAAGCGGCTGTTTGATGGTGCTGAAAGGATAGCTTTCCCTCTTTTCCTACGGAATAAATAACTGGATATTAAGAAACCTATTTTTTTTAGGTGAAAATTGGTTTTAAGCGATGAGTGGGAAGAGAGAGGATTAAAAAGAAAATATTTGTATGCTAAGACTTTGTTGGAGCAGATGCCTTAAGGATTTGAAGACTAGAAGATATTGCAATAAGATTTTAAACAGATTTGGACTTTCTTTCTCTTTGATTGATATTACCCCAGAAGGAGAAAGTGAGAACTCTGCCTTGGTTTGGACTGACTGATAACTTTGGGACTGTTTTATTTTTTTTATTTTCTTTTGAATATTCTGGTTGTTGTAAGAAGAAAGAAGGGGAAAAGAAAAGAAAAGATTTATAATGGCTCTTTCTGTTGAGGAACTAAGAAAAGAATATGAACAAGCAAAAAAAAATGGTAAAGATGGTGTGGAAGAAGCTTTCCTTTTTTTAGAAATGGCGCTTACTAACTATCAACAAACATTACAACAGATGAAGACAGCAGAGGAACAAGAAAGAAAGGAAGGAGCCATTTTTAATGAATCTCAGAATTTGATCAAGAAAGAAGGAAGAGAGAAAAGAAGAAAAGGACTTAAGATCTAAACAAACATTTAAGAAAGGGAAAAATAAGGTGCAAAACCAATATGATGATAGTAAACAAAAGGGAAAAGGAATACGACAGAGAAGGGAAGCCGGTAAGGCAGAGGTTAGAAGAAGGGGGGGTAGAAAGGTTTGTTGGGAGAAGAAAGAAAGGGAAAAGGTGGAGAAAAGCTACAATGTTTTGAAATTAAATGGAAAAAAGAAATTTTTTATGGATAATGGATAAAGTATATTTTTTTTAAAAAAAAAGATTTTGCAAGGTACATAAGATGAGATGGTAGTATTGTAATGGTTTAAGAGTTGATAAGAGATTAAAATGTTAAAATGTTTAAAAATGATTGGCTTTAAAATTTAATAATAGGGGAGGTTTAGAATACTGTTTTAATTAAAGAGTTTAATAAGATTATGGTATTGATGTTATTATAAAATTTTTATTATAGTATCTTTTTTTAATATTTGGATTTATTGTCTAATTATGTACTTAATTATTTTGGATGTATTAGTTAGATAGAATGTACCAAGCAAAATCGGATTGGGTATTGGATATTATTTTAAAGATTAATTTGACTAACTTAGGTGGGAGATAGAAAGGCATCATACTCTGATTAATGATTTCAGGAGAAACTTATTTTCTTCTTTTTTATAAGGAATGAGACAAAGGGATGATAAAAAATGGACAAAAGATACAAATATAATGATTCAAACTAAGATGATTAATTAAGATAGAATTAAGAAGGGTGAAATATGTGGAGAAGTTAATATAGAAGGCTTAGAATGGTAAATAAAATAAGTAATGATATGTAAGATGAGCATGAATATAATTGAAGTCCATGAAGAGAGAGACACCTGGGTCAAGTTACTTTCCAAAAAGATTTTTTTTTTATGTTTTGTGTGTTGTGTGTATATGTTTTTTTTGGGGGGAGAATTAGTAAAAACTTGTAGAAATATAGAATGAGAATAATGGTAACTAAGTCAGAAAGAAATAGATGAAATAATAATAATGATATTGAATAAGAGTAAAGAGAAGTAAAGAGAAATTGAATAAGAGGTTTTGGTATGTTATATGGAAATGGTTTAAAACAGAATCATAATTTATCTGACTTGTTAAATTTACAATGAAAAAAGGTTTAAACATGTAATGAATAATGATAATTTGTGTGTTTTAAAAATTAATAAAACTTGTTTAAAAAAAAAAAAAGAGAAAAGGTTTGGAAAGCTAACGTAGCAGCAGATAATTCTGAACGTTGAGGTGAGGATTGCACTGCAGTGTAGGACACTTTCCAGGTATCATCATCTTTGTAAGCAATCGCTCCTCTCGTTTGCCCACCATCTGGAAAAACAGCAGGAGCTTGGGGCAATGGAGAAGGAGAAAGTAGTGGACAAACAGGAAAGAAAGAGGTCATTAAGCAAGCAAGCTGAGGATCTTTAGGCAAATGATATGCAACACAGCCTACATATTCAGTTAAAGCACATTGAAGAGATAAGTTCAAAATCAGATTTCAGGATAGGAAGAATAATATTCATTAAATCAGTCCCATTTCTCTGACAAGCTCGAGTTCGTCCTAAAATTATTATTTCAGCAACAGCTTGGATAAATGGTAAGACATTTTGGGATGGGGTATGAGGTAAATAAAGCCATTCAATACAATACATCTTTTTTGCTTCTCATATAGTTAAAACTCCTGTAGGCAGCTTACTAGTTGGGAATATTAAAAGAGTTAACTGACAATCTCTATGACGAATACGATCTACAAATTGAGTGCTTAAGATATTATTAATCTGCTCAACCGCTGCAATAGCAGCAGGTGGAACTGTAATAAGATCTGCAGGTTGTTTTCCTTTGGTCAATAATTCAAATAATGGACTAAGTAAATGTGTAGGTAAAGAAAAATATGGACAAATCCAATTGAGGGTGCCTAACAATTGCTGCAAATTAACCAATGAAATAACTTTAGGTAAATTCAAATGAGGAAAAGCTGGAGCAGAATAAGATTGCAACATTTTATGCCCTAAATAAAGATAAGGAGAGTGCAGCTGTATTTTTTCTGGAGCAATCTGCAATCCATAGACATTTAAATAATTTTTTAGTTCAGAAAGCCAATTTGGTTGTATTTTTGGGGCTCCAATTAAAATATCATCCATATAATGATATACCAAAACCAATGGATGACGTTTGCGAAAAGGGGCTAATGCTGCAGCAACATAAAGTTGACATAATGTGGGACTATTCAACTTTCCTTGTGGCAAAACTGTCCAATGATAATGTTTATTAGGTTCTGAATGATTCACTGCAGGCATAGTAAATGCAAGCTTTTCTTGATCAGAGGGGCATAAAGGAATAGAGAAAAAACAATCCTTTAAATCAATTACTATTACTTCATGATCTTGAGGAATCAAATTAGGGTTAGGCGTTCCACATTGCAAAGGGCCCATAGGTTGAATACACAAATTTACAGCTCACAAATCATGAAGGAAACACCATCTGCCACTTTTCTTTTTTATGACAAAAACAGGGGTATTCCATGGACTCGTAAAAGGTACAACATGACCAGCAAGCAGCTAATCATTTACTAGCTGATGGAGAACCGTCAATTTTTCATGTGACATGGGCCATTGATCAATCCATGCCGGCTCTCTTTAAGTGGAAGGGCAGTAGACTCAGTCTTCGAAAGTGAGGATGGCACCCAATTTACTAAGCAGATCACATCCCTAAAGGCTGACATGAATATCTAATATAAAAGGATGGACCTGAATGACCAAATCTGAATTAGGCAAATGGGCTGAAAGAAACTGTGCACTCTGATGTGCACATTGATGACCTCCCACACCTCACACACTTGGACAAGGTTCAGTTGGTCAGGTATCAGGCCACTGCCTGGCAGAAATCACTGAAACATCCACTCCAGTGTCCAAAATTCCCTCAAAGGGCTTACCCTGTAACACAATGATCTGACGGGGCCGTTGAAATGTGATTGGGGTAGTGATGGCAACTATGATGGAAGTGTCCGGGACAGTAGAACCGAAACCCCCTTCCCCTCTTTCTTTTGGCTCTCCCCCTGCTGGGACAAAATAAGGCAAATGCAGGAGTTGAGCAGGGCTAGAGTAAATGGGCAAAATTTGGGGAAATTAGTCCACAATTGGACATAAATGATTCCAGTATAATCTGAATCTATCATCCCAGGAATAACAAAAATACCTTTTTTACCCATGCTTGACCGGGGAAGGACAAGCCCTACATAATTTTACAGTAGTGAGTTGATAATTGAGATGGAACTAATTGAACCTCCCCAGGAAATTTAAAATTCATGTCCTCCTGCAGTAATAAATCAATACCACCACTACCTCTTGTAGCTGCAGGAGTATTTTCTATTGTTGGTTTATGGTATCTGCTTGGACTGGGATTAGAGACCGACATTCATTTGCCCAATGATAACCCTTGTGACACTTTGGGCATTTTGTTCTTGGCTTCAACCTCTGATGGCAAAGGGAGCGAGATGCTGTAGACATACCTCCTCCTGAACTTCGACATTCCCTTCTAAAATGACCAGGTTTGCCACAGTTGTAACAATTTCCTTGAGACTTGCTGCCTTGTGATAAAGCAGCTGCCAATAAATTAGCTTGATAAGAATCTGTTCCTAGATCTTGACATGCTTTAATCATTTCTGCCAAATCAGGGTTGGTTCCCAAACCAATAATTGCCCTGCGACATTCAGAAGTGGCATTTTCCTTTGCTAGCTTCATTAATAACTCATGCTGAGCCTCAAGGTTGTCTATCTGCTGCCATCAAGCATCCTGTAATCTGTTAATAAAATCAGGATACGGCTCAGTAGCTTTCTGCCTGATATTAGAGAAGGCTTGATGAGGCTTGCCAGAAACAGGCACCTTTGAGAATGCTTGATAGGTGCATTCAAAAGAAATTTGTAAAGTGGCAGCCGCTAAAACAATTTGAGCATCAACTGGAGCAATATTGCCAGATCCATA